CTCGTCCTCTCCCTTCCTCCTTCTCCCCTGTCATCCCATCCTCTCTTCTTTAGTCGACCCTTATTTTACAGAATCGTGCTGCCTATTTTCCCACTCGACCACTCTGTTTTCTTGGGCTAGAAGGCGCGGGCGTCGGCCCAGCGGCGCGCGCGGAAGCACTCGTTGCCCTGGTCCTTGAAGTTGGTGGCGTTCTCGAGCGGCGTGCCCTCAAAGGCGAGGGCCTGCAGCGCCGCCACCGTCTCGTTGTCCTCGTCGAGCTCCGTCATGAAGAGCGGCGACGTCTGCAGGTCGGCGTACACCTCGTCCACGGTGCGACGGACGGCCGGCGCGGGCCCTGTTGTGCCCTCGGGCTGGGGCGCTGCCTCGCGCTGTGCGAGCATCGACTCGAGCTGAGCCGTCATGTCGTCGACCTTCATCGTGGAAATGTGTTGCTGCCTCGTCTTGTGTGCGATGTTCTCGAATCGAGGTGCTCCACGATGTTTTCCCCCGAGGCGTTGTCTGGTATGTAGATTGACGATGCACTGAGACTTTGAATCGATGTCGATGACAGTAACTGCTTTTGACGATGAAACCTGTCGTCAGTGATTCTCTTCGTCATGGAGCTTGACTTGGTGTGAGGTTGAAAATTCTAGGTGACTTCCCCACGACGCCAACGTGTGAAACGTGTGTGCCTCGTTTTGGTGGGGAACCTCATGGAGAACCTCAATGGGCAACTGCCATCCACGACCACGACCATGGAATCCGTTCGAACATCCCAACATCACTCGAAGCATGCAGTAAGAGAGATATTTCCTAATCTTTTCTTCTACACCACGAATCAAGTTTGCTTGCAGCCCAACGCAATACATCGCCGGCCATGATCATGATGAAAACAAACACCAACGCAGGGCCTCAAACCAGGCCCAAGCAATACAACGCGAGCCTTTTCCCCATCCAGTACGCCAGACAAAAATCATCGCGACCCATCGTGCCCAGGGATATCGCCCGTCTAGCTATATGCATCGAGTCGTGAAAAATGTGCAGACGGTAAAAATCATCCCCAGTCCGTACTGGCGGCGAAATGCAAAAACTCCATGCTCGCTGACAAACAACCACTATACCGACTCCTCTTCTTTCCTGCCTCCACACATCTTCTTGTTCAAGCCTCCTGCTTCCGTGCAGAAACGGCTCACATGCGCTCGTCGACCTCAGTCACGACAATCGTCGGCTGCTTGGCCACGTCGGCCCGCCCAGCCTCCTCGCCGCCGTCGTCGCACCTCTGGCGAGGGACGGCAAAACACTGCACAGCACCAATGACGGCGACGACGGCGCTGCCGTACCACGCGAGGCCCGAGCAGTTGATCTTGGTGCCGTACGTGTACAGCAGGCCGGCAATGGGAGGCGCAATCATGCGGCACCCCGCACTCGCGCTGGCCGCCATGCCGTTGAGCTTGCCGAGCGCCTTGGGCGACGGCGCCGCCTCCTTGATGAGGATGAGGAGGAGCGGGTAGAGGATGATCGACAGCACGTTGCGCACCGCGAGGCAGAAGTAAATCGCCGGGTACACCATGGCCTCGGGCACGAGCAGCAGGTTCGGCACGAGCACGTAGGCGATGGGGTGGAGCACCGTCACCGCAATGAACAGCCTGTACACACCAAACTTCTGCGCAGCGAGGGGGAAAATGACGGCCTGCACAAAGAGCGCAATCACACCGTTGACCCCCATGATCATGCCGACGGCCCTGGTCGTCATGCCGAGACCGCCAGCGCCGAGGCTACCGGCGACGGACGACGCCGCCGCGGAGAAGAGGCTCATGCTGCCGCTGTCGGCCCGGTCGTCCTCGAAAAAGATGGGCATCAGGTGGTCGTACGTCATCGAGTGGTACGTGAAGATGCACAGCGCCACGACGAGCGTCATGATGCGCTTGGTGAAAATGTCGTACGACGGCTCCTCCTTCTTCTCGTCCGAGTTGCGCCCAGTCGCCGGCGCTCAGGCTGCGGCTGCGCCCCCGACGCTGCCGTACGTGTCGTCGCGCAGGTCGACGGCCGGCCTCTTCATGGCGTCCGTCGTGGCGAGCAGCGGCGTCTCCTCCGACACAAACGTGCTCGGCGCCACCGACGACGCAGACTGCATGTCAGGGTGGGTCTCCTGGAGGAGGAACCAGCCGAGCACAATGCTGACGAAGAGAAGCGCGGCGCAGACGAGGTTCGGCAGCAGGTAGGGGAAGTTGTAGAAGAGACTGCCGACAGGGAAGGCCTCGGGCCACGACTTGTGAGGGTCGGCCATGGTGCCGCCAATAAAGGGGCCCAGGATGGTGCCGATGGACCAGACAAAGGGCATGACCGAGTAGGCGCGGGCTGCGAAATTATTTACATGTTCGTGGCAAAATGGGGCACACCGGATCAACTCACGCTCATGTTCAGGCTTCTTGACCATTTCACCAACCATGGTCTGGATGACGCCAATGTTGCCGTTGAGGAGACCGCCGAGGGCCCGTCCGATGAGGGCGAGCCAGATGTTCGACGCAAAGCCGACCATGACCAAGCTGAACATGGTGCCGATGCAGCCGAGGAGGAGAACAGGCTTGCGGCCAATCTTGTCAGAGAGGCCGCCCCAGTACATGCCCATCAGGGCCTCCGCCAGGGAGAAGGCCGAGATGAGCAGGCCCGCGTAGAAGGATGCATCTTCCTCGTTTCCTACCTCGTACCTCTTGACGAGCTCCCAGGCGTAGGGGAAAATGGAGGTGAGGGCAATGGGTTCCGCAAGTCGGACAATAGCTGTGAAAGTGATTAGCCTCTCGTGGGCCGAGGAATGTTCATGTCTTGGAACGTGTGGACTCACCCAGGAGGAAGAGCTGGACAGTGGGGAAGGCGTCTGGGTCGCGAGAGTAACTCTGCTTGGTTAGAGACATGGCTTCTCGACTTGGTAAAAGTCTTACGACGCTGACGCAAGGCAACTCTGATACACACACACACACAAACACACTTTTTCTCTGAGCACTTGGCGGGAAAGTCTAAACTCGTTCTCGTCAGGATCAGGTCAAGTCAGAGAGACGTCGACGTGAACCAGGACAAGCGGTGGTAGAGTAGACAAAGTGCAGGCGGCGAGGGTAGGGTGTGTGGTGATGGTGGTGGCGAGGCGAGGAGAGATGCTTGTGTCTGGAGGAGACTTCTTCTTCTTCTTCTCTTCGTGGTCGAGGAGAGCAAAGACGAAGGTATTCTTATACAGGCGTCAGGGTCTCAGGAAGGAAGGAGGAAGTAGAAGCAACCGGAAGTGGATGTACTCTTTCGAAGAGAGGATTCGTCGATGGGGTGAGGAATGAAAGGAAGAAATGAGCAACGTGCTGAGAGCAGAAGTGCGAAGGGGTAAATATTTGGGTCGAGGAGAGAGACGTGGAGACGGCCATGGCCATGGTCGCGTGGTGGGCGGCAACAGCGTCGGGTGCCGCAGCCTGGCGCTGGTGCTGGTGCTGGTGCTGGTGGGTGCGTCAAGGGTCCCATGGTCAAGGTTCTTCGTGGCGCGGCCCGCAAGGCCCGGCTTCGAGAGCCCGTCGATAACGCCCGCTCGCCTTGCTGGCAAGCGTTCGACCTGTACGGACGAGAGGCCGGAGGCACGAAGGAAAGGATTAACGTGCGGGGCGCTAGGATAGCCTGGGCCGTTGGGAAAAAACATCCGAGGTGCTTGGGCAGAGCGCATCGTTGGGAAGGGGGGGGTGGAAGGAAGCAC